TGGCCAGGCGAGGGCAATGACAGGACACCTGCTTCTATAAAGAGTAGCTTTTCTTCTATTTTATATAGGCATCTTCAGAAGAAACTTCCATTTGAAAAGGGTCTTAACTTCCTTAAAAACTTGAAAAAGCCAGCGAATTAGTGGATAATTGGATGGTCAAAGCAAGGCAGACGTGGCTTTGAAGCCTAGGTTTGCTCCATGAGTTGGTGTAACTTTTGTATCTTTATTCTGGGGCAACTATTGGTTAGGATAAGCAGCACCTCTGTACATGAAGTTTGACTATGGGAGAGTATGTGAATGTTCCTGGCCCTGGGTGTCACCCATACACAGCTTGCCGGCTGTGCCCTTAGCTAGGTTCTCCCTTTATGCCCCTGGCCCCTTTCTGTCCCTGTATCAAAATGTAACTTTTAGGCACCAGATTTCTTGGTCCAACTAAGGTTTTCTACTACTTGGACTTGAAAATTTATCCCTCCAGTACAATCTTAAATATTACTCAGAGTTTTCATATATTATCTTGGCCTCACAATTTTACAGTTGATGACATTTAAGCTCCCCAGCACTGCTTAATAGGACCCTAAACTTAATCTAGGACTTGCGACAAACATCAGCTGCCAGAAATCTGATCGTACTATTCACCACAAAGCCCCAAATGCTTTGAAGACATTTATATGAACATCTTCCTTTTCTTAGGGTCTAAAAAGTGGGTCTAGGGGCTGGGAAGGTGGCTCAGTGGTAGAGCGCTTGCCTTGCATGCCTGAGGCCCTGGGTTCGATTCCTCAGCACCACATAACAAAAAGAAAAAAGCTGAAGTGGTGCTGTGGCTCAAGTGGTAGAGCGCTAACCTTGAGCTGAAGAGCTGAGGGACAGTGCCCAGGCCCAGAGTTCAGGACCCACGACCGGACCCCCCCCCCCCCAAAAAAAAAAAGAAAAAAAAAAAGTGGGTCTAGAAGAGAAACTCTGAATCTGTCCTTACAATGAAAAGAGTCCTTAGTAGCAGGGCTTTTCAGAAAAACAGCTTAAACAAGATGACAGCATTAATGGCACGGTGGACCAGAGGTGGCCCTTCCCAATCACTTCTAGTTTTGTCATTTAGTCTGCAGTTGTTTCAATCAGGATCAAGTTAAAAAGGCAGAGGCTATGTGATCTTCTACACATCTCAGGAGAATAGAGACATGTAAGGGCACCGAAGCAAGTTCAGATAAAGCAATGCCACAAATGTCACCTATGATTTTTTTAGCCCCCTGCCCTCCAAGACTCTTTCAAGGGTCTCAAGGTCAGTGCTGTTTTTGTAACAATGCTAAGGCATTACCCCGTATTTTCACTGTTAAAAAACAGTATTGGATGCAACTCCTGGTACTTCACTTAGGAATGCCCTGAATGAAGCAGTAAAAATCATTACTTTAAGCATTTATATTACTTACTATGATGGTGGTTGTCTAAAGAAAAGATCTTGTGTGATTAAGGTGTGAGCTAAAATAAACTAGCTGCTTGTTTCAGAGGGCATCATTTGACTCAAACTACGGTTATTCCAACTTGAGTATTTAGCACATATTTGTCACTTCAAGGAAAACAACTGATAGTGGTCACCAAAATTGGAACTTTCAGATATGTTGTATCTGCTACTTGGAGCCCAACTTCTACCCAAAACTTGTAAGATTGTATAAACAATGGTGATATTTGATGAAATGTCAACATATGGAAGATCCAACTAACAGTAAACTAATATCCTATAAATGATTGATACAAGGTATTTCAAAATCATTGATGGGTAATCCATCCTAAATGCCAAGATCTCAATGGACTGAAACAGGATAAAAAAGATCCATGAAGTTTCAGATTCTATACCACAACAAATATTAGGAAACATTCATTTGTTAATGTGATGTAATATCAGAATACCAGTTATTAAAAAGCTATTATCTCACCCTTTTCTGGCCACTTATTTGTGGGTAGATTTCCTTCATATACTTCAATCAAAAACGTATCTAAACAGACTGGATACACAAATATGAGGATCTATTGAAATCTTGTAAGCCAGGTATTAGATTTTCAAAAATGTAAAAACAATAGTTCTTTAATTTTTTTGTTTTGAAAGTTTGGTTTTCCATTAAAAGGCTATTATTCATGTTAACATGAGATGGTTTTATGATATTTGAAAAAAATGCTAGTTTTAATTTCAAGTCTAGTAACTATTGATAAATATAGCCTACCAAAAGTTTTAGTCTTTAATAATTTTAAAGTATGAATGAACTGTAGAGATAAACTTGTAATGCCACCTACTGGCAAAATCAGAATCACTGCTTCTTGTGAAATCCAACAACCAGTTTCCTTCAGTAAAATACTTCTCAAAGGATGTTCTTCTCTGAGACTCAACCAAGGGAACAAAGCTAGGAAGGTGAGAGATTTCAAGACAGAATTAAAGGAATGGTAATAAATCCTCCAGAGGCTTGTCTTAAGAATGGAAATCAGAAGTTACTGATATTGGCATCTATACTTTAACTGTGATGAAGGTGATACACTTCTAGCATCTTGTTTATTTGTGACTCCTTAGAGCAGCCCGGTAACAATCTCAATTACTCCTTCAGCAACATCTGCTGTTACATTTTACTTTCTTACAGTATAACTGCTCTGATGGGCTTACTAATGCTTAGGCCTTGGCCTTAAATATGTGGACAGCATGATCTGAGGTAGTTGGGAATTTTAGTTTGCCTTTAAGTTACCTGTGTGGGCTAAACCAAATGTAGAGAAAGAATTGTTTGGGGGAGAGGTTTTTATTTTTTTTCAGAATAGCCATTTGTGTGTGTGTGTGTGTGTGTGTGTGTGTAACACAAATCTCAACACTTTTATGGTGAGTGTACATGATACTAATTGGAAATTCCATTCGAGTGGAAGACATCACACATTCCCCCTTTTGTTTGTAGATTTTAAATGGAGGGACACCAGACATTCCTTCCAGTGGCCTATTACCAGGGCAGGCTCAGGAGAATCCAGGTTATCCGTATTCTGATAGTTCTTCTATTCTTGGTAAGTGACATTGATATTCGTCTCTATGCAATGAGCTTACAATAAATACATCTGGCATAAAGAGTTTGAAGAACTTATTATACAAAATAAGTTCTAGATAAATTTGGTAAGAACAAAGTAGAAGTTAGAACTTTAAGTATTTCAACATTGACTTTAATGGTGGTGTTTAGTTGGGATCCAAATATGTTTAATGCAGCCTAGACAGGTTCTGTCCATATGGTGCTTAATCTTTAGAAAGAGAGCCAATGCTGATTCAGAATAAAGCCTTAAGAGTGATCAGTAAAATTCAGCAGGTAGCAAAAGCCATTAAATGATGCTAGTTTGTTTCTCCCAACCCCGTATATCCTTTTCTTTATCTATTGTCCTCCTCTTTCCTACTCGTTACTCTTTCTGTAACTCTGTCTTTTTAACTTGCTATCAGAATATTAAAATGAAGTGAACTCAATTATTTTTAACATTTACTGAATTTTAAGCACTTTACTCTTATTTCTAAAAAGTTATTTTCTCTGAAAAACAAGTGTTAAAAAAGGCACTATAGCCCTAAAAAAGTAGTCTGCTACTGTTCATTTTTTCTAAATGTGCTTAGAAAGTGCTTAATAAATCTAAACATGGTTTGAATTTTTTCTGACCAGTCTTTCTCTCTTCCACAGGTGAGAACCCCCATATAGGCATAGACATGATAGATAATGACCAAGGATCAAGTAGTCCCAGTAATGACGAAGCAGCAATGGCCGTCATCATGAGCCTCTTGGAAGCAGACGCTGGGCTGGGTGGTCCTGTTGACTTTAGTGACTTGCCATGGCCGCTGTAAACACTACGTGTTGCTTTGGCAACAGCTACAGTATCAAAGTGCATTACTGGTGGAGTTTTACAGTCTGTGAAGCTTACTGGATAGGGAGAGAGCAGCTTTTATGTACTGATTTCATAAAAGCCATCTCAGAGCCATTGATACAAGTCAGTCTATGTGTAACTTCAGACAAAGTGGAACCTAAGCCTGCTCCAGTGTTTCCTCATCATTGATTTTGGGCTAGCTGTCAATAGCTTGCATTACTTGTATATTTTGGATTCTGTTTGTGTTGAATTTTTTAATCATTGTGCACAGAAGCATCATTGGTAGCTTTTATATGCAAAATGGTCATTTCAGATGTATGGTGTTTTTACACTACAAAGAGGTCCTCCATGTGGATATTTCTTATACTAATTGTATCATAAAGCTGTTTATTCTTCCTTGTAAGAATCCTTTACTATAAATATGGGTTAAAGTATAATGTATTAGACAGTTAAATATTTTTAATAAATGTTTCCCTTGTTCTATAAATACTATTCCCATTTCAGTTTTTTAAAAAAAATCTATATGCTGCAGGGCTGGACCATCAGTTCCAACAGTGGATACTTATGGATCATCCATGCTAGTTACATTTGCAATGTTTTTACAGTACTTGGGATTGAATTTAGGGCCTTAAGCACTCTATATCTGAGCCATAACTCAGCTCTGCGATGCCTTCTTGATCTTCATAACAACTCTGGAGCTTACATAATTTCCTTATCCTACCATCTTAATTGAAGTTCAAGGGCTTCAAGGGTTAAGTGACCTCAGACACAATGCACCTCAGTATTTCTGTTTTTCTTGTATTAGACTACAGAATATTTAAAATAACATGCTAAGCAGAGCAGAACAGTATACTAGAAAAGGCAATGAACTGGTATAAGAGGTTGCCTCTGCAGCAAAATTACTACACACTATGGTAAAGTGACTTCATCTTCCTTATAAAGTTGGAATAAAAAAATGCTTTCTTTTAAGCTCTGATATTTACAGTATATTTTATAACTAGTAGGAAATTTAAGTGCCTCACCACAAATATACCAAATAAGAGCTCTTTGAGCTACTATTTGATCGCTAGTTATATTTATACCAACAAGATAGTCTATTAATCATGAAACTACATCTAATCAGAGGGGTTATGAAGCTGGTCAGAAACATGAAAACAATGGAATTTTATTTTGATGAAAAACTTGAGTTTACAATCATTTAGTAAATGAAGAGCAAACACTTCATTTTCCTATCCCATAACTCTTTAAGAAAAAGCATTAGTAAATAAATATCTGTGAACAGATTAAGGGTAAGGCAGACTGGATAATAAACCACCTCTGATGTTCACTCCCTGCACTTGACTCACTTGAACTGATAAGATATGAGCATCAAATCTCACCCTAGCCATTCAAATAAGCCCAAGATAAATACTCACTTTTTTGCTCATCACAAGCAAACTATACACATTTTACTGAAGGAATACTTTGATAGAAGCACTTATTTAAGTTATATTGTGCATCACAACTATAAAATGGCTTGAACAGTTCCATTTAACCACCATTTATAAAGTGCAACTACATAATATTCTGCATTTTATCTGAGGTGAGATGAATATCAATCTACACTGAAAATACCCCAGGTGCCAATTTCCACCATTTCTGAAAAGACCTAGATGTGTGTGAAAAAGGACTGTCCCCCATACAAAGAACCAATTTCACAAACCTACTGGTAAACAAATACGTTTATGTAACTAGAACCTCAGGATGCTAAAGTTGTACTCATTTAAAAAAAACCATTCGGCTACCTTTGGTCTTTAAAAAAGCCTACACTGCAATATCCTAAATATGTGCAGCTCACAATGAAGAAGAGTGGCCTTGCAGTGCAGAATGAGGAGTACACCGTCATTGTGAAGAGTAGCATGCTATGGTTTCAAGGATCATCAGCATCACAGCATTGGGTTCTGGGCATCAGGATCGAGGTCACTGTTGCTAGAAGGGGGCTGAATGGGAAGGCTGTCCAGCTCATCCACTTGTGGAGTTGGGTGCATGACCACCAACTGGTCCTGGGGAATGTCTGCAGCAGCTGCTGCCAGGTTGGTGATAGATTTACTTTTTACACACTGAAAGTCTACATGCCGGCTCTTTCCTTCTTCCTTCTCCCAGGACATTCGAATAAAGGGTCTTTGGACATAGTTGTAAATGACTTCTGGGCGGCCTCCAGGCCTTTTCTTTACTTTTTCTTTGTAGGTAGGATAACCTAGAGGAAAGAAAGGTTTAAAAAAACTGAGGAGACACACACACACAATTTCACACCCAATTTAGCAATTAAGGGCTTTTCTGGTTCGTACACATCCTGAACAAATAACAAAGTTGAAACAAGAAGGGAAACCAATATTCCATATACTTAGTCATCAATTCAACAGCCAGAAACTAAAATTCTACTGGTGCAATTCACAAAGCCTCCTCCATCTTTCCAGTTACTCAATAAACAAACCACCAAAAAAAAAAAAAAAAAAAGATCCTTAAAGTGTATGTCTGGGATGGTTCTCCAATACAATGATGTATCAGCTGGAGCAGGTCTTGGGCTCTTGCTGTATATTCTCACTCTCACATAATGATCTAGCCTAAAGGCCAGCAATTTACCACTACATTAACCATAAGCCTAAATTCATCTGTATATTGTTCTGGGGTTCTCCCCGCCTTTTTTTTTTTTGTTTACTAGAAAAGTACTTAACTCCCTAGCTGGTTCCTAAATAATAATTTTCAGCTACATCAGTAACGGCAATACTTTAATCTCTTACAGCATTTTAACATGTCTATCCCAACAGCAAAACGGTTAATTTAAATCTGTATCTCCAAAGCAGTTTTCCCTAACTATATCTTCTAGATCACAGTCACTACAAAAAGTAACAACTAGTGATAGTAACCCTAGTTTTCAAAAACTTTACCAGTAAAGCCATTTTTCCAAATATACAGTCCTTTGAAATTATTAAAAGTCCCTTTCCTCCAACTATTAGCAAAAATTGCTAGTTTCAACCAGGGATAATCAATCACATTCTATAAAAGGCTAGAATAAACATTTCAGAGTGGGTGATATTGTTTCTACTAAGACTACTTAATTCTGCCACTATAAAAATCAGTCACAAAAAATGTCAATGTTTCCAATAAAACTTTATTTATTTAAAAAATTAGGCAATGGACTACAACAGGCTCATGGGCCAAAATCAAGACTACGATGTCAGAAAAAAAAACTACAAAAGCCTTACAAAATAAGTACTCATTTAAAATTACCAGATCAAGGAATGCATGTAGTCATCACTGGTAGCTAGTATATTTAGGTATTATGAAGTGTGTATGAGATGGGAGTAGGGAAGCCAGAAGGGCCAAAATCATCTTAAAAGCCTGCAGAGCATCCAGTTTATCACTATCAGCAGAGATAAGTTGTCTATATTCCCTTGTCCTTCATTCCTCCTGAATTACTAAAGAAACTTGACAATTCTTACCTTACTGTATTCTACACGGTCTTCCACAGAGCATCACCACTCTATACAAGTGTAGTTACATTGCATCCTCGCTTGAAAACTACCAATGGTTTCATTACCCTTCAAAGGGAAGGTCTGTATTCCTCAACATAGTATATGGGCTATATATCAACCTACTTGATCACTTCACTATCATATAACTCCCTCCAATTCCAAGCTCTCTGTATACTGGCCATATCAAATGTTTCGCTTTTTCCTGAATATTCTTTGATGTTTTTATACACGGATTTGCAGTTGGCTCTACCAATTCCTCCTTATTTATCTATGTTCTCTTGGATTCTCCTCATGTTTCTTATGCATCAGGTCAACTGAGCTCCCATGAGAGTCAACACATTCAATATTCTGAAAGCAGACTTCTTTTGAAGAACTATGAATTGAGAAAGGGTAAAATGAGAGGAGAACAAAACAGCTAATGTAGAAAGAGATCTGCCTTTTAGTCTCCAACATACCACAACATTTCTACTTATTTTTCCAAGAGAAAAAAATTACTGATGTGACAGGAAAATATGGATGTAGTATACACATTGGAAAAAGATTCTAGAAACAGATATTGAAGGAAGCATAAGAGCCTGGTTAATTAATGCCTAACCAAAGTCAAGACCAATTTATCTAGGCAAGTAATGTCAATAGTAAATATACAAATTATGTTTATACTGACTTTTAAAAAATTCCACTAGTAAGTGCAATCTATTAATGCTATCTATTAAGATAGCATTTCATAACCACTTTGAAATTCTGAAATCACAGAGACCTGCGTTCAAGCTCCAGCTCTACTCTATAATCCCCAAACAATTTACTTAACTCTTAAACTTCAGTTTCTTTGTCTTAAAAATAGAGATAGGCTGAGTGCTAGTGGCTCATGCCTATAATCCTAGCTACTCAGGAGGCTGAGATCTGAGAATCCTATTGCAAAAAGCCAGCCCAGGAAGGAACGTCCATGAGATTCCTATATCTAGTTAACTACCACAAAGCCGGAAATGGAGCTGTGGCAAGTGACAGAGTGCCAGCCTTGGGTGAAAAAGCTAAGGAACAGGGCCCAGGTGCTGTGTTCAAGCTCCAGTACTGGCATACACACATGAAAAAAACAAATACTGGGTAACCAGAACATCTCTACCAATGAGAGAAAACTACAAGAATGACAAGTAAAAAAATGTAAAAGAAATGACAGAATTGAAACATGATAGTTTGCAATCCCTAATCAAATTACTGACCTAAGCAAGAATTGTCTGCTAATAGTTATAATCTCAGGTAATGAATAGTGAGTTGCACTTAATGCCTTATAATTTGCATGTCATCTTTGTGCAGGGGCCAGGCTAATCTTCTCTGTCTCATCCTAATTTTAGTGTATGTCTTAATGAAGCAGGACATTTTTATGAGCTGAACATTCTTATCGTATCAAAGTAACATCATATCCAAAAACAGCTTAAGAAAAAAATTAAATTATGCCTTTATATCTGGAATAAAATAAAGGACAAATCCAGAAGCAGGACAGTGGGCCCAGGCTATTTAATAGGATGGTGTGATAAATAAGGGCACATTGAATATTGAGAGATCAGAAATAACCAGCAGTCAATTATAAGGTATGATCATGGACTGGATCGTGATTTGGAGGACAGTCACAAAAAGCATTTGGGACCGGTGGCACTGGGCAATTTTAATGCTGGTTGATACTAAGACATTTTTAGCCAGGCAATTCTAGCTATTCAAGGGACAGATACTGAGAGGGTCAAGGATTGAAGCCAGCTCAGGCAAAAAGTTAGGAAGATCCCATCTCAACCAATAAAAGCTGGTGTGACACTCTATGTCTGTGTTCCCAACTACATGAGAAGTGCAAATATGAAGATTAGGATCCAGATTAGCCTGTGCCTAAACATGGGATCCTATTTTAAAAAATAAAGCAAAAATTACGGAAGGTATGACTCAAGTGGTCTAGAAAGTGCAAGGCCCTGAGTTCAAACCTCACTTAGTACTGCCAAAAAAGAAAAAATGTATTCTTCATTTCGTAGAGCAAGATAAAATTTTTAGAAAACTATTGTATATCATGATATAAGGTAGTGCTATATGATTTTAATGGAATAAGCAGTACTTGTAACTAGATCTTTATAATTACATTAAAAATAACTCAATATTTGGAGCACTGTATTTTTCTTGTATAGAGAAACAAGTACTCAGTTTCAGTACTTAAATGAAGCTTTTACATAAGGTATTTCTTCACTGAGAATCTATATACTATAAGCACCAGGCCACATTATCAGGTATATACATAAAACACAACTTGATTTCTCTCACAGAGTTCATGGCCATGACCAACCAACTATATCATACATGACATAGTATGTTGTTCTGAGGAGCAATGTCACTGAAGCTCCAAGGTTTGAAAGGGTTTGAAGAATAGTAGTAGCCATTAGAGAAAGAAAGTAAGAAAAAGTAATTTCTAGTCAACCTCATTTGATCATTACAACTATCCTTTGATGTACACCATTTCATAGATACAGAAACAAAAAGTTTGACTTAAGATCCCTGGCCAACATTCCTTACTACACATCTTCTGACACAACATTATATCTACATTATTCATAACAAGTATACCTCTTCTTCAAATCCCCTCATCGCCTAATATTCTAGTTGCATTGTGTTTTCTGTACCTCCAATGCATTAAGCTCATTCCTATCTCAACACTTATGCACTTGTTTTGTTTCTTGCCTAGCGCCATCATTGTAACCAGGGCTATCTAAATAATAAGCTATCTAAAAATTAAGCAAGTTGTGATTTTGTAATTTGTACAAAATTTGAAAATAAGCTATTATCACATTGTCAGCTACTGTTTCTACATGAATTTTCAAAATGTAGCTTTCAGATGAGCTCTAGTGGCTTAGGCCTATATCTTTAATTCTAGCTACTCCAGAGGCTGAGATTTGAGACCTTCAAAGTCAGCTTGAGTAGTAAATTCCAAAAGACCCTTAGCTCCAATTAACTAACAAAATGCTAGACCAGAGAGGTATGACTCAAGTGCTAGAGCATCAGCCATGACCAAAACAGCCAAGTGAAAGTATAGGCTCTGAGTTCAAGACACAGTTCCAACACACACACACACACACACACACACACACACACACACACACACACACACACACACACAAATACATACACACATGCATACATGAATGAGCACAAAAAATGGTTTAAAAATATACCAGGTTTCAAAGACCATTACTAGGAAAAAAGCCTTGTCAATTTTATAGAAAAGTACACACAGGTAAGCCCCCTCACTCCTCATCCACACTCATTTCATCATTTTATACATACACAGTTTTGGCAAATGGCAAAAAAAATAATTCAATACATATCCTAAAAAATTAAGTGAGGGAAGAGATGAGGTGGGAGAGACAGGAGAGAATGTTGAAAGGGGTGACACTGATCAAGAGGACATACTATATTTATAAGCTGCTTTGTTGAATGGCAACTCCTTTGTAGAGCTACTTAAAGTTAATAAAAAATATTCAAAGATAAATAAATTTTAAAAATGAATGAGCTATGGCAGAAAAGACAAAAATCTCATTTCTATATCACTAGAGAAGTTTACGAAACAAAACTTTATAACGACCTGTCTTCTCAAAAGAAGTTATTAGCTAATTTGTTATTTGCACGTTTTCTGCAAAAGAATTTAATAATCCCTTGTCAGGAGTTTATCTCAAATTATTAGGATCCATTTTAGGGAGGAGACAGAGCTGGGGTTTTAACTCGAGGCCTTGCGCTTACTAAAGCCATGCGCCTCCAGCTCTTTTGACTTTAGCTAATTTTTTCAGATAAAGTTTGATTTTTTTGTGCTATGATGGTAAGTAGGTGGTAACCTTTCTCCTTACACCTTACCTGGGATTATAGCATGCACTTCTTCAGCCAAGTTTTTACTGAGATGGAGACTCACTAACTTTCAGCATTGGCTGTCCTATAACCATAATCCCCTCAATCTAGCCCTAAGAAATCACTATGATTTTAGGCATAAGCCACCATGCCAAGCCTAAACAGGATCCATTTTTTAACGCAGTTTTTTTTTTTCCAAAAACAGATTAATAAAAAATAATAATGTCTTACCTTCTATTCCCAATCTAATCTTCTTAAGACCTCTTTCCTTCAAAACTGATTTGGCCACATCTCTGTTTTCAATGTACTTGAAAAATCTATATAATTTTGTGCTATAAATAACTGAAAACAAAAAGACAAAAAGATTTCATATTAATATGAAAGTTCTTAGAAATAAACTTAAATTTACCTTTATCATCAAAGGGTCCTGACAGCCCTAAAACCCCAAATAATGGATGCACTAATGCTAAAGGCAGAGTAGCCGACATGACAGGACAATATTCAGTATAGTTAATGTAGAAGCAAATATCTACTTAAGTGGAAACAAGAAAAGCTTTGATAACCAATCAGGTAACCCAATCCATAGGAAGAATTTCTTCTGAAGATGTATCTTATCCACACTTATTGGAATGGGATCTGCCCCAAGTTTCAAGTAAGAGAAATAAAAGATGACATCAATAACATGATTATTGAGCAAGCAAAGTAAAGGACTTTGCTAAGATGCCTTCAAGGCCTGGAATGGAGGAAGAACTGCCTTGTCAAAAAGTACAAAAAGGTATATTTTACATTTCATGGATTGAGCAACTATTAATAATTCCCCAAAGGCAAGACCCTCCCACAAACTGTTTTCCATCCAGGCAAATAGCCCCACTTAATAATGATGTTAACAATGGCAGATTCGAGCATGTTCTGCCTAGGTTAGTCTGTTTAGAGCAAACTGGCTTTGCAAAGGGCAGACATTCCACTGACAACATGTTGAGTCTTCCAATTGTGCTGGGAACTTCAGGGAGTTAGACTGATGGGCCTTCCTCGCCTTCTGTCTTTCAGGTGGAGTTATCTCCCTTAAAAGGTGAACTGCAGAGGTTTTTTCAAAAACAGAAAAACACACTCACAAACCAAACATGCTGGTTTAAGAGTCAATAAAGGAAAATACGTCAACAAAATTCTATTCATGGGATATGTCTGTGGTTATTACTAAACCCATAAGATTATTCTTTTGTGTGTGTGTGTTGTGTATGTGTGTGTGTGTGCGCACACACTGCTTACAGGGGTTTGAACACAGGGCCTGGGCGCTGTCCCACTTAAGTTACAGTTCCAATTCCAGCTTTTTCGTTGTTAATTTAAGAGTCTCATGGACTTTTGTGCCCAGGCTGGCTTTGAACCATGATCCTCAGATCTCAGCCTCCTAACATAAGGCACTGGGCATGAGCTATCAGTGCCCAGCAGTTTCCTGGTATTTTGATGAAGAATTTTTGACATTTTGGAAACAATAAGTTACATTTTAGGAAATCAGGCTGAACGCGATAGCTCTAACTTCTCAAATATATCTTTTTCAGGATGGAACATTTTGGTACAAAATGGAACATTTTTCACAAAGTAAAAATGTTTTTAAAGTGCTAAAAAAGAATAAAAATGTTTAGTCCTTTTACAATTCAAAGCTTAAAAATAAGAAAACAAGGAAGTGGCGCTGTAGCTCAAGTGGTAGAGCGCTCGCCTTGAGTTGAGGAGCTGAGGGACAACGCCCAGGCCCAGAGTTCAAGCCCCACAACCGACAAAAAAAAAAAAAAAAAATAAGAAAACAAAAAAATATGAAATGGAAAGTTTAATACAGGAAAGGGAAAAGTAAGCTTATTATAACCCTTTTATCACTATAATGCTACTACTTGGCTGCACTCTCTTGAAGTCTAACTTTTTGGAAACTGAAATCTAAATGATACACTTATTCATTCTACTTTCCTAAAATAAAATAATACATTATATTTCTTTGGTCTTTCATTCCTCCCATGTTTTGTTCACCTTTTGATTTTATATAATATTAGAAAAATATATCATTAAGACTGAGGAAAACAACAGAATTGCTTATAAGTAGTTACAAAAGAGCAAAACACTCTAAGTACATCATTCAAAGAAAATTCTGAGCATTCTCTCAAAAAAGTGCTACCATAATTCATATTAAAATAATCTTTTTGCTGAGTGCTGGTGGCTCATGGCTGATTGCAGTTCTAAGCCAGCCTGGGCAGGAAAGTCCACGGGACTCTTACCTCCAATTAACCACCAGAAAACCAGAAGTGGTGTGCTGTGGCTCAAAGTGGTATAGTGAAAGCCTTGAGAGAAAGAGTTCAGGGACAGCGCACAGGCCCTGAGTTCAAGCCTCATGACTGACAAAATAGTAATAGTAGTAGTAATAATAATAATTTTAAATAAACAAGAACATCAATTAGAGTCAGCTTTTTCATTTTGCTTTTTCTTAGAAAAGGGTAAAGTGGAAATACCAGAGATTAATAGGTTTTAGGCTTGCTTTGTCAGCTGATAACACCACTTGTGTCATGTGTGCAGCCTGGCTTTTTAATGGCTACTTTGGAACTAATGTATCCCAGACATTTTCTGCCGGATTCCAGCTTCTTGAGTAGCTAGAGTTTATAGGTGTGAGTCACCAGTACCTATTTGAGTTTTAGTACTTTCTATATTCCTGTAATCCACACCCTATAGAGTACAGAACAAAAACTGGACTATTTACTAAGCTTTTTGAGATACTTTTGGAAATTTTCTCCATCTGTGCAACTGCTCAAAAATGCTAATACTGGATTCATTAAGATAAACAACATAAGACAGATTTTCTAACAAAAAAAAAATCAAACAAGACTAACCATGAAAGTTTGGGATGAAATGAGAAATTAATGCTACTAAAGTTAGGCTCTTTTGGTCAGAAACAGCAATAGAAGTATAGTTCATAATGCTTTTGGAAAGACCACGGTATCTTCCAGGATCACATAGACAATAAAACAAGAACATCTTTGAACTTAAAGTTACCCTCCTACAGTCAAAAAAGAGCACTTCTCTATGTGGCAGGGGTGAGTACACTTTGTCTTTGCAGGGCCAGAGAGTAAATACTTGGGGCTTTGCGAGCCATGCAATCTCTGTTGCAGCTATTCAACTCTGCCAAGATAGCATGAAAAGCAGCCATAGGCAATACATAAAAACCTTTCTACAAACAGGCAAGGAGCTGAAATTGTCCCCCAGGCTAGTTTGCTGACCCCTTATGTTTGATGCCTATTATGACCACCTACAAAGCCTGACCTTTGATTGTAATAAAAGAGATAATCTATGATTGAAGAGAAAGAAAACATGCCATAACTTACTTTGTGAATATTCTTCTCCCATTTGTGGTGGATACTCCTCATCCCAATCAACCACATCATCATCTGTAAGCACCACTATATGGCATTCTCTTTCCCCACTCTGGGCACTAGCTACCATAAGAGGGAGGATCATTTCTTCCAGATAAAATTCAAATTGTCGACGAGCACCATCATTTGATAACTCATGCATTAGGGCACCTGAAATAAAACCCACAGAAAATCTTTGTTTTTTTTTTTTTTTGGATAATTTTGTTTAAAGTAAAGTAAAGCAGAAGTCAATGAGATTCTTATCTCCAATTGTCTACAGGAAAACTCTGAGCTCTGGTTCAAAGTGGTACAGTGCTAGCCTTGAGCAAAAGAGCTCAGGGACATTGTCTATGCCCTGAGTTCAAGCCCCATGACTGACAAAAAAAGAGAGAAAGAAAAGAAAAACAGAAGTAAAGCAAAAATCAAACACTAGGTCCATATCTATTTTGAAATCTTACAGATGATATACTTGTCTACAATGGCCATAACTTTTCCTAAAAAGAGCTCTTATAGCCTACATATCTAAGAGAAAATTAATCACACTGAATGAATGAAGGATCTGAGAGCAGATGAAGAGAATAATAAGCATAAGACTGAAAAGAGAGATGCCTAAGAGCAAGAAGAGGGAAGCAAAAAGAAATCAGTGACAGTAAAACACAAGGTCCAGATTACAACTAAATTTAACATTATTCAAAATCCTTTAGCCAGCCAGGTGCTGGTGGTTCATGCCTGTAATTTAGCTACTAAGGAGATCTGAGGATCACTGTTCAAAGCCAGCTTATGGGTAGGAAAGTCCATGAGACTCTTATCTCCAATTAACCATCAGAAAATCAGAAGTGGCACTGTGACTCAAGTGGTAGAGTGCTTGCCTTCAGCTGAAGAGCTCAGGGACAGTGCCCAAGCCCAGAGTTCAAGCCTCACAGCTGACAAAAAAGGAAAACAAAAATCCTTTATCCAATATAACATGGCAAAAAAAAAAAGTTATTTACAACAGGGTCAATTATCTAAAAATACATGATAATCAACTGAGACTATTAGAGTTTTATAATGTACTAAATACAAATGTACAAATTCAATAAACTTCTACACATTTATTAGCATTTAGAAAAGTTTAATGTTCTTAAACACAATAATAAAATATACAAATAATCAAACAAAGTCAGAGCAGAAATCACATGGAAAACAGGACAGAAACTCTACTACAGTATGAATAAATGGAAAATTATCACAATAAACATATTAATTCTTCTAAAACTTTCAAAAAACCTATTTTGAGATGATAAATTTCTAAATATCTACTAGAGACATGAAGACAGCTTTTAGTATGAGGAGAAAATTCATGTTATTCGAGGGGACAAGTGTAACAGGCTCTTAACACAAAACAATTCAAAAGTTTATGAAGTTCTTACTTATGTGGTAAGGACTATGAAAATAAAGTCAAGCCCGGCGCCAGTGGCTCACGCCTGTAATCCTAGCTACTTAGGAGGCTGAGATCTGAGGATTGTGGTTCAAAGCCAGCTGGGGCAATAGTCTGTGACTCAAGAGGTAGATCGCTCGCCTTGAAATGCAGAGCTCAGGGACAGTGCCCAGGCCCTAGAGTTCAAGGCCCACAACCAAACAGGAAGGGAGGAAGGGAAGGAGGGAGGGAGGGAGGGAGGGAGGGAGGGAGGGAGGGAGGGAAGGAAGGAAGGAAGGAAGGAAGGAAGGAAGGAAGGAAGGAAGGAAGGATGCAGAGAGGCAGGCAGGCAGGCAGGCAGGCAGGTGGGCAGGCCAGTCAAAAGACACATATCTGCAGGAAAAAAATGTATAGACTCAAGTCTATACCCAAAGTATTTTTTATATTTGTACAAGAACATTTCTAGTTTCTTCTAATTCTATGTAGTTTTTTCTTTTTTTTTCAATTCCCAAATCTTTATGTAGAACAAAGTAAACTTTTGAGTTAGATTTCATTATAGGAAAATAACATATAACAGGTTGGAGAATATTTGCCAAGTACTGAAGTGTATTAAGAAAGAGAAACATTGTGAATATTGGAGACAGTAATGTAATGCTTTTGTATTTAAATATTTGTGAATATATATATATATATATATATATATATATATTACATTTTGAAGCAGAATTTCTGTTATTTCCTGGGATCCCCTCTGCAGATTTCCATAAATATATATATATATATATATACATATATATATATATATATATGTATTTGTGTGTGTGTAAAGATACTGTACAGAAGGTTAGTTACATGAGCAAGGTAGTTTTTTTCTTAATAACATCTTTGAGAATTTCTAAACTTTTAGTGACCATATTAATCAAATAACAATTATAATTTAAGAGCTAAAAGTCTAGGAAAATCATATTACATATACTTTATATGAAGATGCTTATTTTTAATTTCAAAAAATTTGGTATTTAATAGAGAAAATAAACTCTGTCCAAGGGATAGAACTAAAATGCTTATCATTTGTAATAAATTCTACTAGTTTTTAATATGAAAGTCACCAAACTTCAGCATCTAGTGACATAAAGTTTAAGTCAAATGATCTAATAAGGGCTGGAGGTGTGGTAATAAATTCTAGTAGTTTTTAATATGAAAGTCACCAAACTTTAGCATCTAGTTACATAAAGTTTAATTCAAATGATCTGATAAGGGCTAGAGGTGCGGTTCAAGTGAAGGTAGAACACTTGTCAAGCAACTGTGAGGCCTTGTATTCAAACCCCAGCACCATACACACAAAAAATAAATTCTCAAGTTTTCTACTAGAACCATTTTTTAGATAAAAACAGCAACTTTTTTCAAATTTATAATTGTATTCTCCAGTTGCTTGGCTATTTGACTTCATTTAAATTTTTAAATATAACAATATAGAGAAATGATTCAGAGGTAGACCTACTTCTTTGCCCTACCTATCAGTATTTTTATGGAGACTTGAAAAAAATGTTTGACAAAAATAGCATAGTACACTTTGGGACAGACTTTAATAATGTTACTAATTTTCAAGGACTCAGCTAGTAACTGAAAAAGAAAAGGGCTGGTTATATCTATGTTTATACCCAGTGCCTTAAAAACTTACTTAGAAACTTATTTGGGAAAGTATGATACCATGTTGCCAACTTAAGGTTGAGCTTAGGTAATGAAGTAAAGGTAACAACCATAGGGACAGGGCTAGCATAAGGCTATAAAACATATGTACAGAGATCTTATAATGAATCTGAGCTCTTAGAATAACCTGGTCAATTCTTTCTAAACCTTTCCTGTTCATTCTTTACTGTCTTTTCTGAACTATTCTCCAATCCCTCTGCCCTTATCTTTCTCTGAACTTCACTACCCATTTAATATCAAGTCAACATGTGATAATATCTGCTGGTTCTGTAAAGAATTGCTTCTATTTCTGAGGTACAACACAATAGCAGGTATCATCAATCAGGATCAAGATTCTAAAGTGCCAGACCCTGCTCTAAGACAGTATTTAAAATTCTCAGATAAAGCCACCTTAATACAGTTTATGATCTCTAATGAAAAGTACCATATGATAATTATTTGTATCTTCCAAAGTTCTCTGGATATTATCTCATTTCATAATATAACATATTGCAAAATTTTAGATAATGTGATCTGAGAAATTAATCAGATCACATTTAACCAAAGCCAAGACTTCAATCTAAGAGACAATGACAAAAAGCAAAATATGGGTTTGAAGGCATGACTCAGGTCATAGAGCATCAACCAATGAGTGAAAGCAAGAATCAGATATCAAATCCAAGTCCCAGGCTTGGACAAAAAAAAAAAAAAAAAGCAAAATATCAAGGAAATTTAAGAAGGTTCATAAAAATAAAGTTGAAAATTTTTTGGACAATTATACAGAGACTATATAGAACTCTGAATACTTCCAGAAATAATCTTTGTAACACCAAAGTGTTTTACAATTAAATTAAACCAATATTTGAAGCCTGAATAAATAATAAACTTTCAGTCTTTGCTTTATAATCTATTATAACTCTACAAATCACTCACACATAAAACATCATACTTACTGAGATCTCTACATTTAATAGTACTATATTCAAAAGAAATACAAAGATAATCGCATGCTTCTCTCAGTTCAGGAATAGATATGCCATCAGGACAACGGATAATTCCTGTCTTATAGTAATCCTGGAAAAAAAAAAGTGACAAAAGGGTATAAAACACCTGGAGTAAAAGGTAGCTAAAACTTATTGCTAAAGTTAAGTTAAATAGCATTTTCAACAACAACAACAACAACAATAGTAATAATAGAGGTTCTCAAATGTCCAATTTCTGAAATTGGAACTTCAAAGTTCATTAAATATCTTTTTTTTTTTTTTCTGTTGGCCGGTCATGGAGCTTGAACTCTGGCCCTGGGAGCTGTCCCTGAGCTCTTCAGCTCAAAGCGAGTGTTCTACCGCTTGAGCCACAGCACTACTTCCAGTTTTCTGGCAACTAACTAGGAGTTTCCTGCCTGGGCTAGCTTTGAACCACAATCTTCAGAGCTCAGCCTCCTGAGTAGCTAGGATTACAGGCATGAGTCACTGGTGCCCAGCTTGAGTATCTTTTTTTTATAATATCTGTAAGGGTAATTCAGGTTCAGTGAGATTCAGTATAATTTCACTAAACTGAAATTATAAGCAGGGATTCGTAATATTTATTAAAATATTCTTTAAAATAAAAGTTTAAATTCTACCCTCATCCCAAATTAAAGATGTTAAAAGAAGGACAAAAAAATCAAGGAGGTGGGTTTTGAATGTTTTCAAATGTTTCCATATTGTTGGTTTGGGTCAATAAAGTTATTATGATTCAAGAAGCCACATTCATTCTCAAGAAGCAAGAATGAGCCAGGAGCCGGTGGTTCATGCCTGTAATCCTAGCTACCCAGGAGGCTGAGATCTGAGGATCATGGTAAAAAGCCAGCCCAGGCATGAAAGTCCTTGAGACTTTTATCTCCAATAAACCACTCAGAAAACTGGAAGTGGCACTGTGGCTCAAGAGGTAGAGTGCCAGCCTTGAGCTGAAGAGCTGAGGGACAGCACCCAGACCCAGAGTTCAAGCCCCATGACCAACAACAACAACAAAAAGAATGAATGACTTACCATATTTTAAAAATTAGGGAGAAATAATAATAATATGACTCCAGAAAATGCTATTACTAAATACTTGAAAGACCTGCTTATGCCCACCTAAGAGATCAATTTTCCTATCTTACCTTCCCAAGGTCATAAACTCATTTACTCACAACCTATTATCTTTATATCGTCAAAAAACATGAATTAAAAGGTATTTAAAACAAAATTATCTTGCCTATCTTCAGAGAGATAGTAAAATAGAGCTTTGCTTCCAATTTAATACCTGCACCAAGGAGAGAGTTACAATAATAAATCAATGGGGCTCATGCTTGTAATCCTAGCTTCTCAGGAGGCTGAGAACTGAGGATGGCAGTTTGAAACCAGCCCGGGCAGGAAAAGTCTGTGAGGCTTTTATCTCCAATTAACCACAAAAAGTCACAAGTATGGGCTGGGAAGGTGGCTCAGTGGTAGAGCGCTTGCTTTGCATGCATGAGGCCCTGGGTTCGATTCCTCAGCTCCACATAAGCAAAAAGAAAAAAGCCGGAAGTGGCGCTGTGGCTCAAGTGGTAGAGTTCTAGCCTTGAGCTGAAGAGCTGAGGGACAGCGCCCAGGCCCAGAGTTCAGGCCCCACAACCGGACCCAAAACAAAAATTAAAAAAAATTTAAAAAATTTTAAAAAGTCACAAGTAGAGCTGCAACTCAAGTGGAGGTAAAGCAGTAGCCTTGAGACTAAAGGGCTCAGAAGCAGCATCCAGGCCCCAGTTCAAGCTCCAGGATGTACAGGCCTGCACACACAAACAAAACAAAAACAAAAACAAATCATACTTACCAGGATAGCTCGAAACACTGTGGAACCAATTCCCTCAGCCACTTCATACTCTCCCTTCTCATTGGGACGTGTGAAGTTATGTTCTCGGCCAGACCCAAACATCCTATAGCAGCAAATAATTAAGAAGCATTACATAATATTTCAATAGGGAAAATCAGTTTGATGCACAAAAATGAAAAGGAATTAAACACAAAAGAATATCATTAACTTAATTCCAGAGTCCTTATCAGAAATTTAACCTAATAAACATTACAAATCAAAGAGCATTAAATTGGGTACTGTTGGCTCATGCCACCAGTACTCTAGCTACTCAGGAGGCTGAGATCTGAGGATCAAAGCAGCTGGGGCAGAAAAGTCTCTGTGAGACTCTTATCTCCAATTAACTACTCAAAAACTGGAAGTGAAGTTGTAAAAGTGGTAAAGTATAAGTCTTGAGCAAAAGAGCTCAGGGACAGTGCCCAACCTTGAGTTCAAGCTCCACAATGGACCAAAAAAAAGGAGAAAAAAAAAAAAAAGACAGAAAATTAAAATTTTTTGATAGGAACAGCAGTATAGATTTTCTGTAAGTAATGATAAAATTAAATGAAAATACTTAGAAGTTAAAAAAAATGTCCAATTCCTTCTTCTCAGGAGAAACATAAATAAAACATTCAAGAGTAAAGGGTTATTTCTATTCCAGAGAGAGGAAGGGAGGGGGAGGGGGAGAACCATGTTATCTGCCTTTTCCTTAAACTGCTGTTTTCATCACAAAGTTATTGCTGTAATAGCACATATAGCAAGGTAAACTGAAAAAAAGATGAGACAGGCAAGTTAGCCTTCTTTATGTTTCACAAACTACTCAAAATGATAAATTTGCATCATGGAATTGAAAAAGCCACAATCAAATGTCAGATCTTCTATCCAACAAGGATGAAGAAGTGAATGGAAAGTTGAATTGAGTAGAAAGCTCTTAATACTTTTATATAAGAAAAAGGTAAGTGCACTTATGATTTTTCAAGTAACACTGTTGACTCTTTTACAGTATTATTTAGAAAAGAGATAATTTACAAAATAGGTTCTTTGAAATTGAAAAGCCTGATGCAGTACTCAAGAAAAATTAAAAATCATGGTCTGAATTCAGTGATATGGAAAATAAGTCCAGTTGTCCGAAGTATTTTCTTCAATAGTTTCCTAATTCAATGGTTTCATCTTTTGTTGTAACAGAAATCCATGAAGGACAAAGCTTTTTTTATTTCAAAGTTTCCAAAAGAATGCCACTGTTTTCCAATGAATATTAATTTTCATCCCCAAAGATTACTCTTTAGTCAACAAACATAAAAGAAAGCTTTCACTGATTTTAATAAGAGAAGATAGTCTTTCAAGAATCAAATGTCATGCAATTTTTCTCAAATACTTGAACTTTCTAAAAAAAGCAAAAGCTACTCTTTTCAGACCATATCAATGCTTTAAAAAAAATTTAAAAACAGCAGATGCAAATTTCAAATCACTTTTTATTGCTTTGAATTTTATGTAAAAATAAATTAACAATATCATCTTTCTAATAGCTTCCATCAATAATCCCCCCCCTCATTATAGTAAAAAAAATACATTTTCAGAGGTAAAGTCAAGTGTCTATGTTAAAAGAAAATTTTATTAGCTCCTCAAATGTATAAAATCACAATCTCAGCATTTACTGTATATTCCAACATACTAACAAATCATATATACACACACTACACGGTTATGCACTCACATACACACTCACATAGTCATCATGCAAGCAAACTAGAAAAAAATATCCTAAGTTTTTGCCTTATGTAAAACTTCTGTTACATTTATGTAACTACTTTAATTGCAGAGAACAATATTGATTTAAGAACTATCTGATCTTCATTTTGGACATGTTGAAAATCAAGTCTATATTATATTATCTGTGTGCTTCTTAGCTTGTGTTTGCATAACTACAAACTTTAATCTATTACTCTGTACCAACACAAATCAGAACTATTAATTCCTTTCTTTTATCTTAAGTGTACATATTAAAGTCACTCTTCTTTTTCTCTTTCAGAATATCTACATCAAACTGACAACTCATGTTGATTTCACAGGAGAAAAATTCTTTTTCTTTAAACAATGCTGCTTCTATCTGTGCCTGGTAGCTGAATTTGGGAACATTCAAGAAATACACTAGATTCAATCTATGGTCTCAATCTGTAGAGATCCTTTAGTATCCTGATATTTGCCGATTCCTACAGTTACTGCAAAGAACATTAGAAACAAAATAAAGTTCAAACTTTATCTCTGCCATATTCTAGCTGTATTAACTTGAACTAGTAATTTAATCTCCAAAACAGTTTTTCATCCATGAAAAAAGAGTGGAACACTATACTATATTTCAACAGAGAACTACTACAAAACATAAATTGGAAAAAATAAATAAAGCAGTGGTTTCAAAAGAACCTTCTAGTTCATAAAAGAAAAGCAGCAATACCAACCTGCCCAACATTGTATTAGGTTGTGCAGTGAAAATGGATGGATCTACAACAAATCTAGTGTTATCCACTATTAATGTCACACGTTCTGATGTTCTTATACTCCGGGCTCCTTCTTTTGCATTTTCATACACAAATACCATCTCTGCAGATGTCTTGCAGCTGCCATCTGAACTTGATTGACTGCTGTTTCTGCTGCTGTTCCCAGCACTGCTCATGGAACCATTTGGGGAGGCTTTTTGAGGGCGAGGACTACTTGGACGAGAAGAACTATGATCTTTTTCTCGCTCTGGAACAAAAATATAAACAAAGTTATACAAATTTTCTTTTAAAAAATTCAAGAACTATTCATGTTTAAAAATGTTTAAATTAGAAAAATTGTTTTAAATAAAACAGCACATCTGCTTTATTATTTCAAAAAAGCCAATAAGCAGTTTATTTTCCAGCAGTATAATCTAAAACATCAAAATATTCTTTATAAAATCTTATTTTCAGACATTTTTTGTGTGTACCAATACTGGGGGGCTTGACCTCAGGGCCTGGGTGTGTCCCTGTGCACTTTTTGCTCAAGGCTAGCATTCTACCACTTAAGCCACAGGTCCACTTCAGATTTTTTTTGGCTCATAATTGGAGATAAGATTCTCACAGACTTTTCTGCCTGGACAGGCTTCAAACTGCTGTCCTCAGATCTCAGCCTCCTGAATAGCCAGGATTACAGGTGTGAGTCACCAGTGTGAGACTTATTCATAGACTAATTTAAAGAAATAGATAGCTAATATTGACTTCTACTAATATCAAACTTCAAGTGAATTTTTATATTGTTTTTCTCCTGAAAAATACACAGAAACCAAAGGAATAAAATATTCTCACAAGTCAAATGTGTATTCAGTGAAAGTTTACAGAAGATTAATGAAACTATCAATTTTTTATTTTTTTTTATTTTTGAGACAGATTCCAGGCTGGCCTTGAACTCAAGATCTTAATGTCTCATCCTCTAAGTGCTACTATTGTAAGTATGGACCATCACAATAAATAAAAACAGCAACTTAAACTATCCTAACTACTAAAAAGACTAACACTTCTCTGAAACATAAAGTATAAACTCTACAGTCACTATGTTAATAAGGACACTCTAAAATCAACAATTTGGGCTGGGAAGTTGGCTCAGTGGTAGAGTGCTTGCCTTGCATGCATGAGGCCCTGGGTTCAATTCCTCAGCACCACATAAGCAAAAAAAGCTGGAAGTGGCGCTGTGGCTCAAGTGGTAGAGCACTAGCCTTGAGCTGAAGAGCTGAGGGACAGCACCCAGGCCCAGAGTTCAAGCCTCATGACCGACCAAAAAAATAAAAAAAAAAAAAAAAATAAAATCAACAATTTACCTCACAATAGGGAGATCCTAACAGAAGAATAATTACTTACTTCAAGACATGATGATTTCAATATCTACCATACAAAGTAGTTTTAGTAATAACTGCTTATATGCTCTATTCTTATTCTTTGTTGTTAAATAAAATGATTCTACAAATTTTATAAGCTCTGGAATTATCATGTATAACTTCTATAGGCAAAAATCATTATTGAAATTTGGAAACCAAGATTTCGTGATACATTTTTATGTAGAGGCTAGATTACTAAACTTTAAAGGTGACCTAAAAATGTACATCTGTCTCATCAATTTCATCAGCTTTGCCAAATTCCTTCATGACTCAGGCTACTTAGAACACTCTGTACAACATTACTGATTATATAATTAGGTTTGCTGTATATCATACAGAGCTACTCTGACACCTCCTTTCTATCACCTGCTCCCACAATGGCTAGTAGCATCCCCAAAGTAAATTTGCTAAGCTAATAAAATAATGTCTTATATTCCCCTATCCTGCTTTCAAGACACTTAACTGTATATAATGTCAATTCTTATTTATATTTCTGTTAATTTCTGGCTTATAAATATTAGTCTTTCTTAAAATAATCTATTTACATATTGTCCAATAAATCAATTTACATAATTATGTCCTAATAGTAAAGATTTTGATTTACAAACTACCAGAAACTATCTCATATAGTTATTTTTTTGTATGTTCTAGGGAATAAAAGACTTGAACATGGTAAGCTGGTGTTCAGCTACTGAGCTATACACCTGGCCCAAATTAATTTTTATCTTTTTTACTTTTCAGGTGCCAGGGATTGAGCCCATCTGAATGTTTCATATGTTAAGCACTTACTCTACTACTAAAACTATATCCCTAGGACCTACATCAAAGTATTTAATTTGTGCCTTCCCTACGGGAAAATGACAATCAGCAAACTCATACTGCTTAGAAACATCTGCTTCACTCATGCTTTACAGTCACACAATGTGTTCAACTGGGGTAATAATGTTCGTTTACAGCATAGAGTAGGGAGGAAAGAAAAGACCTATGCTACTTGTTAAGAAAATAAAACACTTCACTCTCTTCTATTTTATTATAAAATCTGAAACAGTGGCAAAATGAGAATCAGTAATTTATTCTATAGCGGTATTCTTTCACTTTGTAAGCATTAATAAGAATTTTAATAACTTACTATAAACTATCTTATAATAAAACTATATATACATATATATTTATATATACACCTATATTCCTAGCTACTGGGTGCTGAGATCTGCAGATTGCAGTTTGATGCTAATGTGGGCAGGAAAATCCATAAGACTCTTATCTCCAATAAAATACCCAAAACACTTGAAAGTGGAGCTGTGGCTCAAATGGCAGAGTGCTAGCTACTAGCAAAAAAGCTCAAGAACAACATCACGGCCCTAACTTCAAGCTTAAGGATTGGCACCCACAAAAAAATTAAACACTTTTAAGTTGTATTCAATAAGCTGTGTGGTTTTTTTTTTTCCACAGCAAGAATCAAGTTCAGTTAAAATACAAAGAACTAAATGAGGAAGAATCAAATTTTACTCTGAAGGATTAAGAAAAACTGTCACATTGTAACAGGAAATGCGTATTTTCAAGAGCTGGTAAAGTTAGCCAACTGTACATACCAACATGGTGCTGTCGGGTTGGAGAAGTAACATTTCTAATACAAGGAGTGAGCTGAGACTCTGTTCTTTCATGAGATGAATCTCGTGATCTGTCACTTGACCTTCGTCTATCTCTTGATCTCTCATGTCCCCCACTAGCACCATGTAGACTCATCTTGGTGTGGTCGATTCCTCCTTTAGCAACACGTGAGGGAGTACTGATAAGTAAGAAAAGAAAATTAACCATAAAGGCATAAAAGTAAAATCACAAAGAACTTTTAAGAAAAATGATTAATATAATGTGTTAAGTACAAAATTCAAATGCTACTTCCCAATTCTGAAATCTAATCTACCTCAAACCTAATGATTTAGCAAATTCTGGAATAATGTACCTACAAAAGACAATAATGATTGAGCTTTTTTTTTTTTTTGATGGAGGAGAAAATTAAAACCCAAAAAAGTTAACTGACTTTTTTGTTTCGTTAGTTTGTTATATTGTGATAGGATCTTGCTATGTATACAAACCCAGGGTGGTCTCAACCTTTGATACTTCAGCCTCAGTCCTCACCCTCAAACCAGGATGGGATCAAAGGCATGCACGGATGGCAGGCAGTCAAAAGTTGCCTTTTTTTTTCAGTACTGGTATGGGGAGACTTGATCAGGTCCACACTATTCTTGTTTTTTTCTGCTCCTGCCTAATGATCTACCACTTAAGCTGTATCTCCACTTCTGGCTTTTTGTTGATTAACTGGAGAGGTAAGTATTTCAGATGTGTTTGCCAGGCTAACTTTGAACCAAGATCCTCAGTTCTCAGCTTCCTATTGAATAGCTAAGATTATAAGTGTGTGCTACTGGTGTTCAGCTGACTTCCAAGTTAGTGGTAGTAGGGCAAACAGATATTTTAAATATTACTTAGATGTTCTTCTGATTTATTTGCAGGGAAAAAATGTAGAAAGAGAAAAAAAACAGCTCTATGGCAAAGTAACTGGTTTCTCTGTAGAAAAAAATGTATCTTTATGCAAACTTTAACTCACTTTGATAATTCTTTCAAATGTTATAATTTAAAAGTCTGAAAAACATTTTTTCCTGGATAAAATGTCACAGAATTTGAAATTTCACAAAACATAAAGTAAATTTGCCCATGAGAAGTGATTAACTGGGTCCCACATCCACAAATCAGCCAACGACAAATGCTGGAGGGGATGTGGAGAAAGAGGAACCCTATTACGCTGCTGGTGGGAATGTACACTTATACAACCACTTTGAAAAGCAGTCTGGAGGGTCCTTAGAAAGCTAAAGATTGACCTCCCTTACGACCCAGTCATACCACTTCTAGGCATCTACCCTGAACAACAGGAACCAATACACAAGGACACGTGCACCTCCATGTTTATTGCAGCACTGTTCACAATAGCTAGGATATGGAAACAACCTAGATGCCCCACCACAGATGAATGGATCCAAAAATTGTAGTATCTATACACAATGGAATATTATGCAGCCATTAGAAATGACAAAATAATGGCATTTGCAGGGAAATGGATGGAGCTAGAAGGAATCATGTTGAGCGAGGTTAGCCAAGAACGAAGAGACAAACGGTACATGGTCTCCCTGATAACTGGATGCTAAATCCAAAATGTTAGGTGATATGACAAAACTAACAGGACATAAGAAACAAAGAACTCCCACTCATCTGGTTGAACCACTACTAAATATCCCCATGCTGCTGATCACATATATGGTATATAACATGTGAACACCGTTATATATTACAGACTGTGATAGACAATTTGCTCCAGGAAAGTTAGAATGAACTTGTGACTTTAAATGAGCATCATTATTCCACAATACTGTGAATTTCTGGAAATTATGTAATCACTTAATCACAATCAAAAAAAAAAAAAAAAAAGAACCTCGGGGAAGGGAGGGAGGGAGGGGATGGTAGGGGGAAAACAATGGAGGGGGTAACAATGTTCAAGAGGAAGTGTACTCATTACCTCACTCATGCAACTGTAACCCTCTGTATAGTATCTTTACAATTAAAAAAAAAAAAAAAAACAAGAAGTAATTAACTGGGGATGGGAAGGTAGCTCAGCGGTAGAGTGCTTGCCTGGCATGGATGAGGCCCTGGGTTTGATTCCTCAGTACCACTTAAGCAGAAAAAAGCCAGAAGTGGTGCTATGGCTCAAGTGGTAGAATGCTAGCCTTGAGCTGAAGAGCTGAGGGACAGCACCCAAGCCCAGAGTTCAGACCCCACGACCAAAAAAAAAAAAAAAAAAAAGTGAATAGCTAAGAATGTTCACTGCTAAAAATCTAGCTAATTATTCACTCATACATTATTCAGTTATACTATAGACACAAAGGTATGTTACTCCCAAAAGACCAGGAAGGTATCTTTGTAGGTTACCAATCTAAGTGTGGCAGTAATACATATACAACCAGAGATTTAAATAATTTAGGAGCCATCCAACTTCTAAACTTAAAACATATATCTCAAATGCATAACTACTAAGTGAATGAAAAATACATAATAAATGCTTTAAGATCTCAAACAAAGAAGACAGTCACTAGTGCAGCAAGTCTGGTAAAACATGTAAGGTTTTTATACAGTGAAAATGCAATTCAGGTAGGAAAACTGATGGATGGTAACAATAATTAGAGCCAGATTCAAAGCAATTTGGAAATTTACTATGTTAGCATATATGATAGTTCATAGCTTTAGAGATGGAAGGAACATCATGGTTTTAAAATTAAATTGTTGCTATGTCGAAAAACGAACTTTACAACTTTGGCGGGGGCAGGGGGGGCACTTGTGGAGATGGGAGGGCAGGGATGGTAGGGGAAAAACAAAGGAGGAGGCAACAATGCTTGATAAGAAATGTACTCATTACCTTGCTCATGTAATTGTAACCCTTCTGTATGGTATTTTCACAATAAAAAACTTATTAAAAAATTAAATCGTTCTTTAATACTATAGTTGATTGACATTCTGAGTGTCACTCAATATTCTAGAAATAGTATTCTCATATGTAGAATCTATTTACTTGCTAAAGTTTTTATTAGGATTAAGTAAACAGGCCATTAATGTACTAAGCTTAATAAAACTACCCTTAAATGGTCATTTAAGTTATAGTGGATAACAATAGTTATCTCAGTCACATAGTTTTCTCAGTCACTGAGTATTTAGCAGTGATGCTAATAATAGTGTAACTTTAAGCTTCAATTCATTTCAGTCCTTCCCCCACCCCCCATTAACATAGTGCTCTTTTATCAAAACCACAGTTTAAAACTGAAGCTTTTTAGGGATTGAGAAAGTGGTTTTAATTTCATCATCAGTGACTCAGGGTCATTTCTTCTGTTGGTTCATTAGCCTTAATGCTTTATATTATTTTAGTAGTCTGCTTCATTATGAAAATCAATCATCACCTTGTTATAACATAGATTACCAGGAAAGAAGAGAGAGCTGACCTTCAGTAATCTTGAAAGTTACTCCTAGGAAAATACGGGCAGTCTATCAGTGTTTCTCAGTCATTTGTCTCTCATAAATTTAAAGAAAAAAATAAATTCCACTGTTAATCCTTTTCCAGTAAAAGAGGAGGAGAAAGAGGACAATTCTATTCTTAGAATAGAATCTTCTTAAGTAGAACAAATCAAAAGGTTGTACTGCATTTATGTTTAAGAACCTTAGAATAGGAGCACACATGTCTGGTTGTTTTAAAGTAGGAAAGAAAACAGAATTCCTACTAATAGAAACAAGGATCATATATAGAATAACTCTTCAAATTATCCTGTTCAAGATTAGTGCTCTACCACTGAGCCACAGCACCACTTCTTCAAATTATTCTAAGTTTTAGTCGTTTCAGCAACAAGAAAGCACATTTCCTAAATATGAGTCTGAAAATTTAACAGACAATGTACAAACACAACTATATCTAAGGCAAATGCAAGCTAAATGTTCAGTTTGAGTAAGAGCCAAGCAGACTAATTAATTGAAACAGCATTTCCACCAAATACCTTTTGTAGCCAAAAGATTATACACTGCTAAGCATTCTGCTGAAATATTGCCCCTGTATTTCCAAACTGCTTAGATTTTAAATTAATGCAAATGACAACTTCCATCTTTCTTTGCATACGCAAATAGAATGTATCCTGAATTAGGCCTCCAAAAATTGTAAGACTAATTATTTCCTCCTCTATTTAATTAAATAATTTTAGATCAGAAAAGTAGTCCACGGTTAAAAAAAAAAAAAAAAAAAAAACATTAGGTGCAACAGAAAATGAGGACAAACCTGAGTGTGGTGACACAGACCTGCAATCCAAGCTACTCAGAGTGAAGAGACAGGAGGATCTCCATGTGAGGCCAGCCCAGGCAAAGTTAATACAAGACCCTGTTTCTAAGACAAAACATAATCTAAAGGGCTGGGGCATAAATTAAGTAGTACAGAACTTGCCACGTAAGGCTCTGGGTTCACTCTCTAGTACCCAAGGGTGAGAGAAGAGCAAGGAGAAGGGGAAAAAGATGGGGAAAGGGAGAAGAGAAAGGAGGAGAAAGTCAGAGAGGGAAAGAAAGAGGAGGAAAAAGAACAGAATGGGTAGCAGAGAAAAATAAGGGTAAGCAGATTCAAAGGGGATAACTCTGTTTAGGCTGCATGTAAAAGAACTAAGGACAAGTAAGGGAGAGCAATTAGCCTCAATATCTACTCCCACCAAAACAGAATAATAAGGATTGCATTTACTCTTCTGTACAAACAACTCCAAAAACATTCAGACAGAATATACAAAATAATTATTTGCAAGACATCATATATCAGGCAAAAGATAAAAATAAATATCCCTGAAAGATAGAAAGCAAATGAACTAAGACTAGTGACTGTCCCAACTTATTATCTTGACAGTTTCCAGAGCAAACACACAGAGAGGAAGCCCAGGAAGAACCCAGGAGACTAAAATTTAAAAATAATGGAGGTGAGATGTTGGGATAATAGGCAGCTAGAATTCTCAGGAACGTTTTGGAGAGGGGAGAGCAGTGTGGACAGAAAACCTCACAGATCTTCAGCTGCCACATGGAGTACTAAGATGACTACTGTCAACACACACTGCCCAGCCTCATACATGCTGGTGAACAGGAACTGTTTCCACAGGTTAAAATGATATAGGACAATGAAAGGGAAAAATTACAAGTCTTATCTCTGATACGGAAAATAATTCAAATTTTAAC